CCCCAAAACCCCAAAACCCCAAAACCCCACCATAGCTACTATATATTGAAAGTTACTTTATTAATTCCAATTGATAATCGATGTTCCCAACCAGAAGACTACCCCTCCCATCTCTCCTGTATCCCATCCCAGCTTCCAGAATACTGACAGAGCAGCTATGCAATATTTCATCATTGGAAAAAGTGTCTGTTGCCTCATCTCCAAAAAGTAAGAATAGACATAAAATGCAGTGGATAGTGCAAAACAAAAAGACTGCTTATATTAGGTCGTCATTCAATATTTTCTGATTTACTATAAATAAAGTATCCAATACCAAAAATCAATAAGTTAGGTCTATAATTATCTTAACTTACTAATTTCAACAACTCCAAAGAGTTTAAGTTTAACTATAATAATTCACCAAACTTATAACAAAACTCCAGCTTTATTAAGCATATGGTCTCATGGCCTCTCAACTCCACATTCGTTTTATGCCTCTAAAGCGCCTACTTTTCATTTCTGAAGTGTTTAAGTGGGGTCAAAGTGAGTTAGAAGTTAACGTAATTTTGGTAATTTGGATTTGGAATGACGTAATTGGTATCTGGAGACGAGCCGGTTTTACATCATTGCTTTTGGGAAGTTTAGTCTTAGTTTAGGAAAGGAGGGGGTTTAGTGCCAGTTTTACTTTGTGTGGGGTTGTGTTAGAGGATCAGGGGTTGTATTTGGGTTTGTTACTAGTTTTATGAAGCTATGTTAGGTATTGTGCTTTTAGATTTGGGTAGGAATAATTATGTAATCCACCCAGCTACGATCAGCGATCATATTTTTGGTCCAACTCAGGACTTAACCTTGAAATTTTTGCAGAGTTTGTTTTTATATTTCCTTTTATTATTCCTACCACAAAGCTGAAGATGCTGAAAGTATATCAACTCCTATAGGTAAAGATTTGACTTCAAGCCAATCCCCTGAGAGCAGTTCTCCAACTCAAAAATTCTTTAATGGGACAGAATCTAAGAATACAATTAGCCTTTATGAGCATACAAGAAGCAATGATCAACCTTCAAAGCTATCAGATGAAAGAGGTAAGAACTAATGACTTAGATCTCTAAGGTTATTAGTATTGTGACAAGTTTAAAAAATTTAACCTGCACTTTGTGAACTTGCAGTTATATATCTAAGAAATTTAAATTCCCAAATAAAACTTTTAGTGTCACGTAATTTTTATTGTAAATTCTGACGTCACTAAGTGCTCTTAAGAATCTTTAAATGAAGGCTATTGATAAGCTAACTTTGTTTAGAGCGCTTGAAGAAGACTCCGTCTTGGAAAAGCATCATGCCTCCAAGGAGAGGTAAAATATCAAGTGATAAAAGAGAGGACGTTCTCTATAAAATTCTCATTAGAGCTATTAAAAGATATTATTGGCAGAGATGATGTGAAGGAAACAGTCTTATATCTCACCTTTCAAAAGAAGAGGAGTTAAGAGTGTTTGATGAACTTGATTCTATTGCCAATCAAAGATTTGCTAAATACTTTCATGAAGATGAGCTTAAGCACACCCCAAAACTTTCAATCTTACATGATCCTTCCTTTGTGCTATCCAAAAACCTCTCTGTTTTTCTTGAAATTAAAGTGTTGTTAGCAAGCATTATTATCAGAAAGAACATGAAGAGGTATATTAATAGATGAAGTCTGAGAAGAGTTTGAGAAAAGTATTACCAAATCATTTATAAGTATTCGTACAAAAGACTTGGCACGCTCTTAAAGTCCAAATCAGTTCAACTTATATTCTTAGACTTTTTTGAATCTGAAGAGTTCCAACAAATGCTAGAGACAGATGAATCACTTGAAAAAGATAAGGATGCATATGACTACAGAGCAAAAAGGATTATAGATTATGTCAAGAATCTTGATCCTTTAAAACCTTCTTTTGTATTTCAAAGCTCATAAGAATTCTTTCACAACTTGAAAATAAGTCGCGGAAAATTGATCCAGGGCAATGGTTTAAAATAATTTCCTATTAAAATTATTTCCTTTAAGCTTATCTTACCTCCCAACTGACAAAGACTAATGCCCAATTTAGGAAGATATTAGTGGTTCGCTACAAATATTCAAAAGACTAAATAACGAGGATACTAGTAACTTTAGATCAGGAGTTAATACTATTAGGTTCAATAATTAATAAGTTTTGAGGGGTTTTGGGGTTTTGGGGTTTTGGGGTTTTGGGG